TGTGACAGGCCTTTTGGACAAACGTCTTTTTGACTTTGTGTGTCCTTAGGGGCGTGGTGGCTGCTCAGAACTGGGCTCCTTCCTTCTGAGATAAAAGCCCTTTGCTCTGTCAGATGTGGGCCAACAAATGAGGGGGAGTTTCCATATGGCCTTTCAGGGAGCAGAGAGCAAGCGATGTTTGCACTCCGGTGAGCGCGGGGCTGGCCATTGTTCAGAGAACTCTTTGAAGGGGAAGGTCATCAGTGAGGGATGAGTTTGAACTGGGTCCAGGCTGTGTGCACGTGCAGAGACAGAGGGTGATGGGGAGTGGGGAGGGACACTGGGACCTCCCAGAAAGAATCCCCCATTGATATCTTAGCCCAGAGTTCACAGGCAGAGCAAGACTTGGCAGGAAGGAGATGTGGCCAGCTCCTTGACCAGGTGTTGATTTGTGTTTGTGGGTGTGTGTGTGGGGGGGGCGGGGAGTAGAGGGAGGTAGAGAGGAGATAAATGGACAGAACCTTAGTCTGCAGCCACATGCTCCATGGTCCTGCCACCTGGGCGGGGCGGGGTGGGGGGGGCGGGGATCCTATCTCTAAGTCTGCAGCAGAACTGATTACAGTAAACAGGACTTACCCAGGCCTGAGGCTGGGGCACTATTTAGATGAAATGGTAAATGCCCTGTTGTTTAGGTTTGAATGGAGCATTCATTTCCAGAACATTACTGACCTGGACCAGGTAGATGTGAAGGGAAATGATATGAAAGTCCCTCTCTATCTTCTGAACATCTGTTCTGCTGGTTTGCCCTCCTCAAATCTAGGCGTTCTCTCCAGACGGCCGCTATTTATCTGCGGCGGTGACCTTGAGTCTAACACAAGAGCACACCTCATCATTTAAGCAGAGAGCGTGCACGCAGGTGATGACCTCAGCCCAATGTACCAGGGGACATGAGGAGCTGGGAGAGGTCTGTAGTGAGTGAGTCCAGGATAAGAGCCCAGCAGAGGGATGAAGGGAAAAGGAGCTCCAGAGGGACTCCCAAAGCCACTTCTGACATGTTTGCCCATGATCAGGCTGCTGGAGTCCACCTTCCCACCTAACCCCACATTTCTGTTTTTTTAAAAGATTTTATTTGAGAGAGAGAATGAGAGAACAAGCAGGGGGAGGGGCCGAGGGAGAGAGAAGCAGAAGCAGACTCCCCGCTGAGCAGGAAGCCTGATGATATGGGATTACATCCCAGGACCCTGGGATCATGACCTGAGGTAAAGGCAGACGCTTAACCGACTGAGCCACCCAGGCGCCCCACTAACCCCACATTTCTAAAAACCATCCTGGATAATATGCACGGACGTGCATCTCTGTTGGGTTGATGTGTCATTTGTCTTCTAAAAAGAGGGTGAAATCTGTGTGGGACCAGACAGAATGATGTCACCGAGCGTCCTCTCGAGTTTCAGAAATTGTCTCCTGGAAGTAGGGCTCTTCCAGAACACTGCATGGCCGGCATGAGGAGTCAGGAGGCCTGGGCTTAGATCCCATATCCATTTCTTCATTGTGTGACTTTGGCCCAGCCTTTAGACTTCTGATCCTGTTTCCTTACTGTTAATCAGGAGAGAGTAATATCCAGGTCACAGGGTCAGGGAAAAGACGAAACAAACCCCGTAAAGACTGTGATGTGGCATCTTCCCAGAGAACCTAACTTTTGCCCCTCCTGCAGTAGGCAGGCAGGCTCTTTTCAGAATACCGGTGTCCTAAGATTATCTTTTTCATTGATTTTTTAATTCTCTGATTCTGAAGGGTTCCACACGGTGGCCATTAATCACATGTGGCTGTTCATCACTTGAAATGTGGCTGGTTTGAAATGAGATGTGCTCTGAGTGTAAAATACATATGAGATTTTGAAGACTTAGGACAAAATAGAATGTAAAATCTCTCCCTAATCATTTTTATATTGGCAACATATTGAAATGATAATATTTTGGATACACTGTGCTAAGTGAAAATATTAAAATTAATTTCTCTGCTTCTCTTTGCTTTTTTAGAATGGAGCTTCTAGAAAAATTAAAATTCCATATGTGGAATGCATTCTATTCAATTAGACACAGCTGACGTAAGTATCAGGCAGAAGACTACTTTCTTACTGCCCAGCCCTCATCCTCCCTCATAAAGCTGGCTGCTTGGGTGACACAGTTGTCTGGTCTTTGTCTTACTCTCAGGAAGCCCAGTCTTTCTGGCTTCAGTGTTTTCTAACACGAGGTTGTTTTGAGGCTGGGAATCTTGCCTTGTTTCTATAAATCAAGAGCCAAAGCAAGGCTCTGCCCTCAGATTGACTGACACTATTCTGGAAATGGAAGGTCTGGCTCCAATGCCTTGTGTTTTAGCACAGGTGATTAGACAAAGCCCAAGTCCAAGGAAAATCTGCCGAGAACTTCCAGTGTTCCTTGCCTTAGTTTATCTAGCCATCTCTTTTCTCCTTTGTAAGTTTAACTCAAAGCACAAAACATTTAAGGCCTGAGGGGATGTTTTGATATGGTGAGGGCTGTGGCCGTGACTTGGAGAAGATGTCTTTGAGCAGCGATAAGCCCTGAACACTTCATCAGCAGGGACTTTACCGGACGTGTGGTGGTTCTTCACAAGGACTCAGAGAGAGAGAGAGAGAGAGGAATAACTCTTTCTCACCTCCGCTGGGAAGTGACTGAGCGTGTCTCACTTAGTTCTCATTGAGGAAGTGATTTCACACCAACCTCTTTGTATTTTGGTGTGGGCCAAGCTGAATAAGTTGCATTTTCTTAACGTTACATTCCCGTCTAAACAGTTTAAAATTCCATTACATTTCTGTTTTTAAGAGGAGTGAAGATGGGAGTCAGGCCAGGGGTGGGGCCCTCCAGGCCACACCCTGTGGGCAGGTCGCCTGCTTCTGGGGTCAGGGGTACTGTTGACCTTGGCACCTGGGGAAGAGGCGCTCTCCCACTGGGCAGCCCACACTGAGGTCCCTCCTGGACACCCAACAGCCTGGTGGACGTGGACGACAGGGAAGCCTCCCCACCCCCACTTCCCAGTGTGTGGGGGGGATGCTAGGGACCCTCCTCCAGCTTTTATATTTTATATGTTTTTAAAAGGTTCTGTTCCAGCTTGGCTGATCGCAGTTGGACAAGTCATTCTGCTTCTCCTTTAAATGAGGGAATTGGCAAAATGGCTCTGCCTTTCTATCAAGCTCCCAAGTTGTGTGATAACGAGAAAGAAGAATCAGCTGGCTCAGGGGAATCAAGTTCACCGAAAAAGGCACCAAATGTTCTTCTTAGAACAGCACATACCCAGAAGTAATTACAGGTGAAAGGAGATTGTTGTCAAGTGGGTTTTCTTATCTGATCATCTTCTCCTTTCTGATGGTGAACATGCCCAGTGATAATCATCACCACCCCAGACTTTGATAAATCGGCAGCTTTCATACTTCCTATCATAACACACCTATGCTCTGTGGCCATCTTCCTGGGAACAGGGCTCATGCCTCTTCGCAGCCTTCAGGAAAGTCTCCGTGGGGGCTGGACTCCACTCCAGCCCCTGTCAACATCGAGATGTTGAGCATCCATGGATTGCATGGTTTGCGGGAAGCAGGGGCGTGGGGAGAGGGAAGAACATGAAGAAAGGGGATAACATCTATCTACCTTCAACTGGGACTCATAGGAAGCAGTAGGACTTCCCTAAATTCTTACCCTCGCCCGTTCACTCCCTCCTCTGCAAAGAATGCCCTGGTGTATAAAAACTCCAAGACACAGATATGGTCATGTTATTGCTCTACTCAGAAATCTTCGGTGACTTCCTGCTACCACACTTGGGCATTTGGGACCATCTATGACCAAATTCCAGGTCTTCTTTTCCGGCTTGCTGCTTCACACGTCTCAGTCAGATTCTCTCATCTCCTGGGAGAAACCCTTCATCTTTGCGCCCCCCACCCCTTTTCTGGGCTAGGTGTTCTTTCCAAAATGCTCTAATTCCATGTCTGCCTCTTCAAATCCTGACCATCATTTAAGGCCCAGCTGGTTCTGCAGCCTCCTTCCCAAAACCTTCCTGGATTTCTTGAGCCAGGAATTTTCTCTCCCTTATCCGAACATTCATTCTCTTTGGTTTATATCTCTCTTTTGGTACGACTTACTTTCTACCTATTCTTGTAATTATTTCTACACATGATTGGCCATGCCTTTATATACCTGAGAGCACTTAGCCCCTGTTATGCACTTCATAGGTACTCTGCAAATGCTTCCGGATCCATGTAAAAACTGAGATCAGCACAAAAGGACATGCACTGATGCTGATGTGACTGCTCAGCAGGACAGCTAGCAGGCCAGGTGAAACAGAGACTTGAGAGCGAAAGGCCTCAGACCACCTCCAAGCACAAAGGCTTTATTTTCTAGGACTGAATCTACTGGGAGCGTGCCAGCCCTGCCCACCTCCCAGAGAGGATCTATTTTCTTCTTCTCTTTTCTGTTTTGAGCCCCACACACCTGCATCCCTCTCAGGTTGAATAAAGGAAGAATGGGAAATACAAGATGCACTTAAGGAAGAGAAGTACGAATTTTGAAAGATTATGTTGTGGTTAGGCTAATTTCACAATACAGGGAGTTTAGTTCTGCATATTGTTTACTTAAAGATTTTTTTTTTATTATTATTTTCATTTATTTGAGAGAGAGAGAATGAGAGATAGAGAGCACAAGAGGGAAGAGGGTCAGAGGGAGAAGCAGACTCCCTGCTGAGCAGGGAGCCCGACGTGGGACTCGATCCCAGGACTCCAGGATCATGACCTGAGCCGAAGGCAGTCGCTCAACCAAGTGAGCCACCCAGGTGCCCTGCATATTGTTTACTTAAAAAAACAAAACAATAACAAAACCCAAACCATATTTAAAGCAAGCTTTAGAGCCGTTTGGGCTCTAAACCAGTGCTTCTCAAGGCTGACTGCGTAGACACACCACCAGAGGATTTTACTCAAATGCAGATTTGAGTAAATCAAATCAGGATTGAGAAATCCTGATTCAATGGGTCTGGGTGGAGTCTATAATTCTACATTTCTTACAAGCTCCTGGGTGACACTGGTGCTCCGATTGTGTGGACCACACCTCCAGAAGCAAAGATCTACACATAATTTTCAAATTCTGTGTAGTAACTTAAGTTTCTCAAATCACTTTGTTCACTTTGAATCCCCCTAATATCTGCTTTGTGCTGTTCTTAAGGCACATTTAGCAGATTGCATCTTATTATAGCTGTGGTATACATCAAAAGAAATCTCCCTGAAGACAGAAGCCCCAGATAATACTAGTAAGTCCTCCTCGCCCTGCCCCCATCTCTTTGCTTTTCATCTGTTTCTATGTTTACCCCATTGCGTTATTGAAGGAGCACTAGGTTTGTCCCACCTGCCTTCTCCTTGGTGTCTTCAGTAGCCAGTGGGGACTCAGCTCATGGCTGTTGAAGAAATGAAGTCAACAAGGAAACTAAATCACTGAAAGCTTTCTGAAGATTTTGTCTGCAGATTTGGGGCCCAGAATTTAGCCATATGCTAAAACTTGGGGCTCTAGAACCCTGTGTCCTGTTAATCATGCCCTGAAAGCATGTGCCTCCTTAACAGGGCTGATTGGTTAGGCAGGGAGTCTGTCAGTGGCATCTGAGTCACTCATTCCTGAAATAGGACTTCCGGTGTCAAGTGGAATTTCCCCTCTTTCCTGTCCCTGGTACATTCATATGACGCAAGGGGAGGGCACAGGGAGTAGGGAGCTCACTGACTTGGTAGCCATGACATTGAGGGTGGGGCAATATTTTTTAACCACAAGTGGCCAAATTATTTCCCCTTTCAAGAGGAGTTATTGTTGCTCATGTTAATGGAGCCATCGTTTGAAAACATTTTCAAGAGATTTTTTCTTTTCCTATTAAATTTAAAGAAAAGCAATTTCATGCTGGCTTGTCTAATGCTTCAGATACACTACAGCTGTGGGGTAATGGGCCAATCTAGGATGGAGGCAGACACAAACAAATTTAGGGGCTGTGTGACCTTGGGCAAATTACTGAACCTCTCTGAGCCCGAGCTTCCTCATTTAGAAAGTGAGATTGCTGGGAGGACTACCTGAGAGTACCCATTTGTGAGAACAGATGCTGGACCTATAGTAGCCAAATGTACAATATCGAGTGAACCCTAATGTAAACTGTAGACTTTAATAATTTACAAATATTGGCTTATCAATTGTAAGGAAGGTGCCATACCAGTGCAAGGTGTTAATAGAGTGGGAAGGGTTGGGGGAGTATGTGAAAATTCTCTGTACTTTCTGCCTATGTTAGTGCAACTAAAACTGCTAAAAAATAAATTCAGCAAAAGGTTTTTAAAGATGAAGTAAAAGACGCATATGGTAAAAAAAATATTCGGAGTTCAAAGGATATCTTGTGAGGAGTGAGGTTCTCCCGGTGCTTGATCCCCAGCGCCCTACATCCCACCCCAGAGGTAATGGATCATTGCCCCTTTAAAAAATATCCTTCCAGAGATACGCTGTCCAAGTACAAGCGCATATAAATGTAATTGCCTATGCTTTTTTATACAAATGTTGCCTGTTATATATGAGTTTTCATTAAGAAGAAGTAATTTGTAAGACTAATATATATCAGAAAGCAATAGAGTAAGCAAAAATCCTCCAGAAATGGTGGTGACAGGGACAGGGCAAGTGTCAGGGGTGCACACTGGGTTTGATGATGGGATGGTTTTGATGCAGCTTTGTCAAATAGTTGTCCTGTCAAAACAGCTGCCTCACAAAATCTGCATGCAAACAGTCGCTTCGGCCTCTGATCACACAGTAATATGGCAATTATATGAAAGCTGGACAGTCTAATGCGGGGTGTTCTCTTCAAAACCTTGGCAAGCAGTTGTTGATTCCGGTGATGTCATCTCCCAAATATTTTTGGAACATCTCCTTTGTAATTGCCCTTCAGAGCCTGTGGGACAACTTGTTTTCTTGTATTTTTTCATAGTGAGAAAAGGGGTCATCTGGTGCCTGAACCCTGAGGGTGTGAGCCTGGGCCACCCGATGGAGCCGCCTGAGCACCTGATTTTGCCAATGTGGTCACTCTGTTGTTCACTTTTTCTATAACAAGAGAAGCAGACAAGCCAACAACCCCAGTTTATTTCTACCACCTGCATCATGGTATTTGTAGATGCAGTGGGCTGCTTTGCATTTGAGAAAATGAACACTAATATGGCAGCTTGATTTGTTTCTGACATTTTTCCTGATGAAATTAAATGAAATCCAGGGAATTAAGGCATTAGGCCTATACTGTCCAATGTGATATTACAAGCCACGTAAAGCTGTTGAGATTTAGTACCGACTCATATGCTATATACAATTTTCTTGGTTATTAGTTTATTGTTCATTGTCTCTCCTTGCCCCCTCATCTCCCCACCCCATCCCACTAAAATATTAGCTTCATGAAATCAGGGATCTTTGTTTTGTCTGTTTATGTATCTAAAACAGTATTTGCATATAGTCGGCTCTCAATGTTTGTTGAATGATTCATGAAAGACCTCACCTTTACTTGAAGAGCTTGTACTCTGGATGGGAAGGAGCAAATGTACATATATGAAATGTGTAGAGAAGAACATAGGATATATATATATATTTTAGATTGTGTGTGTGGTTTATAAATGCTATTAGAATTCACAGAAAGAAAATAGTGAGGTCTGGGGCCAGATTTGAAGAAAGTGTAAGAATTGGATCCTGGAGTTTGGGTGGGTATCAAGAAAGGAGATGGACCTTCAGTTACATGGATTGTAGGTAATGCTCCAAGAGGGTAATTGTAAAGCAGAAGGAACAAAGGGCTGAGGCCTGATTTGGGGGCGACACCTACAGTTACAGCGTGGGGGCAGGAGGAGAAACTAGCCAGGAAACTGGGGAAGAGAATGTAAGGAGATGAGGAGAACCCAGGGGAGACAGGCCAGGGAAGCCTAGAAGGCGGAGTTGGGAGAAAGGGAATGTGTGATCATGAGTGTTCTGTGCAGAAGCAGGTGTGGAATACAAACAGGGTAAATTTTGGCCTGAGGGGAGTCAGTATTTGTGATCACTTACTAGCTTTTAAATTGCCAGGCTGGTTAGTTATTGCAATTTGGATTGTTGCCAGTAGGTGTTGCCCTGCTTAGGTTTGATTGGTTTGTGAATAACTGAGAAATCATAGAGCACCCTACAATCCATTCTCTTAACATTTTCCTTGAAAATGTATCTCTCCTTTGTAAAACAAACTATTATGAATTTATTCTTTTTTTTTTGAGAGAGAGAGAGCGCGCTTGCGCAAGTGAGCAGGGGTGGGGAGGGGCGAGAGAGAGAAGGGAGGGAAAGAGAAAGAATCTTAAGCAGGCTCCATTCCCAGCACAGAGCCTGACTCGAGGCTTGATCTACCGACCCTGAGATCGTGACCTGAGCCGAATTCAAGAGTCAGACACTTAACCTGACTGAGCCACCCAGGTGCCCCATGAATTTATTCTTAGAAAGAAAGAGATACATAATAATCTAAAATAAGTAAATACAGGTTAAATTCCATTATTATTAACCTCAATTATTAATTATTAGCAGCTGCTTAGGTAAATCTTGGCTTGCTTTTTGTTTTTCTCTTTTTTTTCTAATTTAAAGGAAATGTTAACTTTTCTTTCACTTATTAGAGTAAAACCACAGGTCCAGGTTACAGTCTTTATGATACCTCTTATTCTAGCATCCTGTCTGGATTAGAATTTGTCCCAAATTTTCCTTTTTTAAAAAGGAGGTAATAATATGGCCAGTAACAAGATAAGCAGGGATGGGTTTGGTAGCCTTTACTGCTGGCTTCTGGTCTTGGCCAGTCGTGCGTGAGATGCAGCGTGGCAACCAGAGTTCTTCCTCCAAAGCATGGTTAAATCTGAAAGACAGTGGGGCACACCAGTCCCTTTTCTTGAAGTTTTCCAGATGCAGCCTAACCATTGGCTCCTTTTCGAGGAGAGTGTGTGGGATGTTTGCCAATAAAATGAAGTGTTCTTGGACGGCAGCTGCGAGGGATCATGAACACCCTCTCCTCCCAGGTGGGTGGTAGTTGCTGCTGGACCAGCTGCACCAATCACCATTGGTGACTTGTGTACCAGTTGTGCTGGCACCCACGTTTTGGCCTGTGGGATGCTAGAGGCTCAAAGTGCCAGGCTGATAGTCAATGTGGCCAGTGTGAAATGTGGGAAAATACAGGCTAATAGAAATGGACTTGAGACATGTTCAGGAAATAGGGGCTAAGAAGTTCCTCTCCGAGCACCGCTGCATTGTCTGTGACATTGATTGTACTGTGTAAACCTACATTTAGTTTCTACATCGCTTAGTGTGGTAGGCTGAGTTATGCCCTCCTTCTCCCAAAAATGTCCTAAACGCTGGAACCTGTGAATACATTGCCTCACATGTCAAAAGGAGTTTAGAAGACGTGACTAAATAAGGATCTTGAGATGGGAAGATTATTCTGGTTTATCCAGGTGGGCCTGATGTACTCAAGGATCCTTCTAGAGGGAGGCAGGAGGTCTGAGTCAGTAGCTGATGTTACCACCAGAACAAGAGATTGGAGTGATGTGAGGAAGGGATCAGGAGCCAAGAAATTCAAATGGACTCCAGAAATAGAAAAATGTAAGGAAAATGGTTCTTCCCTCAGAGCCTCCAGAAAGAACCAGTTTTTTACATTTTTAAAAAATTTTAATTCCAATATGGTTAACATTGTATTAGTTTCAGGTGTATGGTATAGTGATTCAACAATTCTATACATTACTCAGTGCTCATTATGATAAATGCACTCTTTAATCCCCATCACCTGTTTCACCCATCCCCCACCCACCTCCCCTCTGGTACCCATCAGTTTGTTTTTTTGTAATTAAGTCTGTTTTCTTGGTTTGTCTCTTTTTTTTTCCTTTGCTCATTTATTTCTTAAATTCTACATATGAGTGAAATCATATGGTATTTGTCTTTCTCTGACTTATTTCACTTAGCTTTAGATTCTCTAGATTCATCTGTGTTGTTGTAAATGGCAAGATTTCATTCATTTTTGTGGCTCAGTAATATTCCATTGTATACATAATCATATTTTCTTTATCCATTCATCTGTTGATGGACACTTGTGCTGTTCCCATAATTTGGCTATTGTAGATAATGCTGCTGTAAACATAGGGGTGCATATGTCTTTTTAAATTCATATTTGGGGTGCCTGGCTGGCTCAGTCATTAAGCATCTGCCTTCAGCTCAGGCCATGATCCCAGGGTCCTCGGATCGAGCCTCACTTCGGGCTCCCTG